GATTCCAAGTTTTACAGCTTCATTACTGTTTATGTTTGCTGCCGCCATCTTGGATTGTTAACTCGTGGTTGCTGGGGCTGTTCCAACTTTCCGAGTAGGAAATGCAAGTTGAGGAGGTGTTCAAGATTCATATTCCAAACTCGAACTCGGAAATTCCAACTTCACATTCATTCTGGAACCCACTATTATTGTGCGTTTTATGTCACTGAAAATATTTAACTTTTGGACTTTGGCAAGACAAAGGACTTTTAAACTCTACAGAGCGATGGGGTTTTTTTGTGATTTTTCTGCAGTATCACCCTTTTTCACAGTCATGTAACTTTATGGAAACACTCACGTCATGAAAGGCAATACATACATTTTCTTTGTTACAAGGAAACTTCACATCGTGGCCTCAACCACAGCTCTAGGATTCCATGTTTTAAGCCATTTCTACTGTTTTCTGGTATTATTTTGAGGAAGATTGTTCAGGCATTCATTCGATACTGGAAGTGCACACAGGCAGGAAAAATGGGTTAAAAACTGAAACTGAAAGCTCACTGCTGAGAGAATGCTACTGAGGTATGCGCTCCAGACACTCAACCACTGGGCCACCCCCTTTTTTCAGGCATTTAATAATGTGAATTGAACAATCTATCTGAACATAAGATGAGATTTACAAATGTACTATTTGGTTACACACAAACTTTAATCATTGGTTATTATTCATCTCTTTCCTACAGTGTGTCTTTTGTCCTGTCTTTCTCCCCTCACCCCCAAGACCTGACTGTGCCCGTTTCTGCTGGAGGTTTATTCCTGTTAAAACCGAGATCTTCCTTCCCGCTGTCATCAAGTGCTTGTTCACAGGGACTCATCTGATTGTTGGGGTGTTCACTGTATTATTGTCTTTACCTTACTGTCTTCGCCTTGAGGCAACCGTTTCTGTGATTTGGAGCTATAAAAATAAAACTGAACTGAATGAATGAACAAGCTCATGCTTCTCTGTTTTGTTGTAAATTTTCAGTTGGCTAAATTTTCAAAGATGGCAAAAAGTTCAAAAGCTAAAAGCATCATAAAGACGTCCTCCCATTCATGCAAAACTGGAGAATTCTACACTGTTCTTCTTCCTTACAACTTATCCTTAGCCTCGAACACACCATCCTCTCCTCTACTCCCCGATTGCACCACCTCTCTGTCTCTCTCTCTTTCTCTGTGCCACTGTGCCAGTCACCACGCTCTAGGGCTCTGGAGATATTTCAAACATATCTGAGAAATCAATCTTACAGCAAACTGAAGGAAAACATCGAATGTCATTGAGCAATAAGTATGAAGCCTGTCAGAGGTGGAGCTGAGAGCTGGGCCTGCGGCAAGTAAGGCCTGCCAGTATCCCAGTGAGAGGCCTCGTCAGCTTGGCCCCCGTGCCTCTTCCCATACACACATTCACACACACAAGCGTACATGTGCGTGCATACACACACACACACACATCTGACAAAGACAGTTACAATGTCGTTATACTGTTTTTGATTCACACTGCTTCCTCTTACTTCACCTATCTTACTTCTGTCTGTCCAGGATATTTAAAAAAAAAAAAAAAGTGTGCATTTATATTGTGTATTAGATACAGACAGAAAACATGGAGAGAGACAGCAGGGGTACGACATGTAGCAAAGGTCAAGCCAGCTTGCTAAATACAAAAAATTAAAACCATGCAATAATTAGAATTCAAATAATTGATAAGCTATTACTTTAATTACCGGTCATTATGGCAATCATTTTCTTGTTTTGTCACAATCCATTTCCGTTCCACAGGTGCACGATGGCATCTTGCATCTCATATGATGAAAACCCAAACAAATGATATTCAATCTAGTGTCACAGGAAGATTTTTTTTTTTTTTTTTTGCTATGTTGCTTTAAAAGAATTACACGATTACTGGATTATCAAAATTGTGTGATAACTTAATCAAGCTTGTTCCACTTTCAAATACAGCTATTTGCTCCAAATTGATCTGTATAACAATTACACAATCAAATTTATTACCCGCTCATTTAGCAAAATCTGACTAAATGATTGTATGCCAGCAGCGATTTCAAAAAAATAAATAAATCAATGGGTCTTTGATCCTTCTCACAGAATACAAGATGCTCTGAAACTGTACGTCCTCCACTATGTGGTTCAGGGTAACCCTTTGCATCTAGCTGAGAGGAGAAAAAGATACAGGCCAACAGAAAATGAAAACACGAGAGAGGAAGACAGATTTCAGTAGGCAGGAGGGGAGAAGGGCAGCAGATAAGGAGAGACTCAGCCCAGATAGACAAGTGAAAGGAAGCAGAAGTTGATGAAACAAGATGTCACCACTGATGGGTCATTACACCCAAGTAAGCATGGGACACTAGCTGAGCTTGCACTGCCCCCACCCCTCACCACCACCCCTTCATCTTTTTTTTTTTGTCCCTGAGCAGACAGTAACTACTTTATTGCTACTGCCTCCTCACTATTACTTTTCAGGCTCTGTGCTGATTATCCTCTCGGTACAACAAATCACTGCAGCTCAGTGTCGCGGCACTCCAAATTGGCCCGCTTATATTTGCGTACAGATGTGTTTACATCCCCAGGTCAATTGAATTAGGCCTTATAATGAGCCTGGGTGCTGAACAGCTAGCATGCCTGAGCACACTGGGGCATGAACAGGCGCAAATCAGGTGAATCCAGTTAAGAGAGTTTACACTTAACATCACATGCACCCAGTATTTGTCTCGCCGTCTCTTGCTGCACCCATCCTGTTGCTCATTATTATGACTCCAAGCCTGAATGATGATCAGGGCAACAACATCTATGCAACGCCACATCAACGGGTTGAGGGTGTGGAATCAAAAAGCAACACTAATCTACAAATCCCCAGTGTGAGAGTTTGATAGTAAAGCTCAACCATTACTTGTTTTAAAGCTTACTCATTATTTAGCCTTCTTATCACACAGCCACTGGTCACATCACAAAGATGAGCCAGTACGGATGCAGAAAGTGATATGTTAATGTAAGGAAGAACACTGAATGAACAAATAACACTGAATTATTCAAAAATATGCCTAAATCTGAGTGCATGAGGGATGAATTAGTGATCTGCCAGTGATTTAGAATGATAATGAAATGTTTGTTTCTGGTGATGGACAGGGTAGCCTGGGTAAGTGCTGTGATGTGAATATGACAGTTGGATCTGAGGTCCTTGAGCTGTTCAGTGACAGGGAACAGAGAGGTCATCATTATAGAAAACAGAAAGAGCTGCTTGACCTTGAAAAGTAAGGTTATATGCGTGCTTACTGTCTTGCATCAGCCCCCATAAATACACATACATATTTTTATTATTGCACCTGAAACAAATACAATGTAAACACATCATTTAAAAGTTTAATGATAAGCATAATTTACAATTAGTTGAGTTACGTCTCAAAATATGTTGATGTAGAGGGAAATGTATTAGCCTGCAGTATAGATGAGCCAATTATTTTAACACAGAAATAAACCTGGAAGCTCGTGCAAAGAAAAAAACAAAACAAAATATGTATATATATATATATATTCTGAGCCTCAACGGTCACCATCAATCAAATACAAAATACCAAACTAATGTAGTCAGTATTAGAGAAGAGTTTCAGGTTTTTCACACATGAAGTGATGGAAGAGCCCAGAGGGATCTCACATCAGTTTCCATGTGTGCATGTAGACTAGTGAGTGGAACTAAAACCAGGCTTGCGAACCAACGCGTCCTGGCTCCACTGGGACACACATAAGCGACAACAACAGCCGAATTAACCATGCACACTGCAGACGCCAGCGCGCTGAGCTAATACCAGCGAGCTGTGTGCTCAGTCAGCGGCCTCGGGTCCACTCTGGTCCACTGATTCGAGGGACTACGATGAACCGTCATGCAGCTATGGTTCTGCGCCGTGAAATTTGACCGGGGTGTGAAGGTGGAAAAACCAAATAAGCATGATGCTGAAATACAGTATCACGCTTTCTCACCCCTCTCACGCCCGTCTCTCAACACTGTCAAACAAGATAAAGTGGAAAATTGTACATGATCAGAACGGTCTTGATTTCTTCATTGTGACTAATGTGCCATTGGCTCTGGCTTGTTTGAACTACCGTCTCCTTTATCTCTAGCAGTTTAAAAAGAATAAAACAGTTTTAAAAATCTGGTTTAATAAGTTCCTTCTTACTTTTCCCAGCATTTTCTATTTCAATTAACAAAAGGTCACATTTCACACAATACCCATTTTGTTTTACTTTCCTCACAAGTAAATCCCTTCTCTATTTCCTTGTGTGTTATTTTTTTACATTTACTTCAACAAAACGCAACCGAGGATCACTTGGCACTTTTTCCCCCCCTGTCCATCAGAAATCTTCTCTTGACCCTGGACATGTTGCTGCCTTCATGCTGGTAACTCTAATAACATCCGATCCACAGAGAGCAGACCAACACTGCTTGAGCCACTCAAACACAGGCACACACAAAGCTCCGTGCACCCTTTCTGCAGCATTCCTGTAACACTGATAACCGAGTTCATCTCTTTGCTTTCCTCATGTGTACTGCATAAAGGTCATAAATGCATTAAACTAACATTTGCACAGGCAGGAGGACACACACATACACACAAAGAGAACTCACAGGGGTATTAAAGGACCCCCCACTCTCTAAAATAAATAAATAAAATGCACCATGAAGAGAAGACAGCACAAACAAAGACACTTCTCCCTATTACCTGGACCTTGAGGGGCCTTGGCTGCCTAGACGGCATCTGAAGGTGGAGCCTCCAGTCTTAGTATCCACGACCACAAACACACACAAAGCGGCTGAAACAGTCAACTTGGGCTGGCAGAGAGCTGGTCTCAGCCACTCTCACCACACCGGGCCTAGTTATACTCTGTCTGTGTGAGGTACACTGATTACTGATATTACACGCACACGCACACACACACACACACACACTACCTTCACTGCAGGGTATGTGTAAACTCACCATGCAGAAGCAGGTCGCTGCATTAAACACAAGCATATGCTAGCAAGGAGTCTTACTATGATCTTGCACACAGCACTCCACTAGACTGGGCTTCAACACGCTACACTAGTCCGTATTCCACTGCATTACATTGGGCAGGCTAACGCTAGCTCACGCACTGCCACAGTGTTAACAACCGCTCGGTCCTTGCTAGCAGGTTGCTAAGCTAGGCTAAAGCAAATCAAGGCCTCCTGCAGTCATTGGTGTGAGAGCCCATTTTCACAGTTCACACCCGACCTGCTAATGGCTGATCATTCATTCACGCTCTCTGTTGATTGCACAGGCAGGGGGTTGGCCAATCGTACAGTTCGCTAATGTACCGTGCATAGTGAGGATAATCGGCGAGAGCAATAAGCATGTTAATGTTCTGTTGGCCATGAAAACTGAGGTCTGGTAATCTGGGAATATTTTATGAGCAGGATCATCTCAAGAGTTGTGTTTGGTTCGGAACTACAGGTCGGGGCAGCAGAAGATTCATTCATTCATAAAAGACAAACTTGTTCAGTCCGCGGTGTTTAAGGGACCACATTCCTTATGATAATGTTACAGTTTAAATCCATGTACCGTGTCGTCCAGCAGTGGTTATATCGGAAATGCTCAGTGCAGATGCAGACCTCTGAAATGAAATGCTTTAATTCTGCATGCCCTGAAGGCAAGCAGAAGAACTGTTTGAACTTGAACATGTACATGTTTTGGATAAACTTTTTGGATAAACTTTATAATATCCGAGTGTATGTTGATATTTGATTACTGCTGAAACTGTAACAGCACAATAACACGGTATGTCCTAAAGACGTGACCTTGCCATGACCATCAGGATACTTTGAAGGCACAAACTATGACATTAATGTCTAGCACATTTGTACTTATTGATCCTGATTTTTTTTAATGCTTGACACATTGTTATTCTTTAACCTCCTAGGACCTGGCGTCTACATATGTGGACATCACATTTTGGGTTATTTAGACCAAAATACTCCATTTTGCTCTACAAGGGCCTGATATTCACTCACGAGGACATTATACTGCTACTGGTCTATCGAAATTTTAAACGAATATCCTCATATGTGGCTCTCATTTTTCTTAGAAACAAAAAATCAGGTAAAAAAAACCCAAACAAACAAAGAAAGTAATTCTTTGTTTTTACATTCATCGGGCCCCAATATGTACAAAAATATCAAAGAGTTCGGGTCTTAGGAGGTTAATACTATTTGTGTCCAAATTTGAGGTTAAGACATGAATGTGTAGGCCTGGGTAAAACACAAACTGGATGGATAAAATCAACGAAACATTGTCCCAGTCTGGCCACAATAGGGGCTCATGCTGAAGCCACTTTCACAACTAAATTAGACTAAACATCAGGTTGAGACACGCAACGCTTACTGACTGACACTGTTCACAATTATCATTCATTTTTCATAGAGCACTAACTGAACAAGGACATGAAATCAGCTAACATAGTGTAGAGCTGTATCATCTCTATTGTCCAGGCTCTAATGAAGGATTTCATATTCAAAACAGATCTCCTTCATATCAAATCTTTTTTTCTTTTTTGCAGCAGTTTTAATCAAATCATAAACCAAACAACCTTGTGTCCTTAATTGGACTGTCATTCCCTCTCTTACAGAGACACATTTGTATGAAAATTTTAATGTTTTTTGTCACAATGGAAATTGGTTACTTGCTGAGAAAAACCCTTCTAAAACCATCACCATGTAGCTGAAAAAAGAAATCTTTGTATGACAGTCAGTAATTCTAATTATGTTACTAATTAGTGAGCAAAGGCAGAGAAACTAAGTCTGAAGTAAAAAGAAACCTCACAAATAAAACACTTTATATATTAAGGCAGCATGCTTCGGGCAGTATATAGATTTGAACAAGGGAAGCACATTTCACTCCCTATAATTAATATTAGTGTACACAGAGGATTAATGCACACATTCACTTTTACTGTATTTAGAAATTCTAATTGACGTTAGGCTTGTATCAGTTTAGCATTTTCTGTGTCAGCAAAGAGCTGTGAGGCATGCTGACGTGAACCATGTTGCATCTGCCTCCCTCACAGGTTTTTCACAGTGCATTAGGAGAACCTTGCAGAATTAGTCTTTGAGATCACACTGCATTTTCTGTGCGACTACACATCCTTACCCTGTGGATGAGCTCAACTCTCCTACTCTGTCCATCTGGATATCCCAACTTATCCCAGAAAGTCCAGTTCTGCCAAACATGACAAACTTCGTCTACTAGATTGGATTAAAGCATGAGAGGGAGCATGCAGCCAAGGCCTTAGACTTAAATGCTCTCCAGGCTAAAAAGAGAGTGATAGAGTTAGTGCCAAGGAAGCATAATTAATGTTCTTAATTGGGTCTTTCCTTACAGTGGCGAATGATAGTGCACTCATAGTTAGCCATGGCTCCAGGGCCACTGCCATGCGCTCTTAGTGACGTGCGTCCTGTGCTTGTCTGATCTCATACACTTGCTGGCCTCGTCCTGCAAGAATTTAGACAACGCTCAACTGTGGGCAGAGGAGGAGATAAATACTAATGCACATATGTTTCGTGCTTCTCAAGCAGGTATCATCCCCCCTCATCCCTTTATTCCAGCTGCTGAATGATGAAGTGAGTCATAACAAACCCCCTCTGTGTCCCATCTGATTTGGCCTTTGTCCACTACAAGATTTACTTAACCTCCTAAAGCTGCTCTCCCCCAGAGGTCTTACTTACAAGCACTCTCCTCCTCTCTCTGACCGCTGGCTTAGTGACATCAGATGGCCAACGAGGTGTAAATCCGCTGCCCTTAAAGAAGTTAAGTCAGGTGTAACACACAAGCCTGTTTGGTAGAGGAGAAATTGCCAAATACATTATTTTGTGCTGAGAGAGCATGTGCGAAAAATGTATGCATGCATAATAGATAGATAGATAGATAGATAGATAGATAGATAGATAGATAGATAGATAGATAGATAGATAGATAGATAGATAGATAGATAGATAGATAGATAGAT